GACTTTAAAAACCCAATTAGACAGTTGTTTTAAATCACTTAAAAAGCAGAAGATAATACTTATATCCTGTGTCTCAGACCTGCTCTTCATCACTGAACCCTAAAGGAAAGAAACTTTTGCCCTACTTCTACTTTGTTTCTGTTTACAGGCTTTGCAGGAACTCCTGGTTATTTGTCTCCAGAGGTACTGAGGAAGGAGGCGTACGGTAAACCTGTAGACATCTGGGCATGTGGTAAGCTCTTTGTTTGTGTCTTTCTACAGCCGCCTCCTTGCTCTTCCAAAAAGATTGTCACTCAGAAAGACGTATATTTGTGCGTAGGTGTGATCCTTTACATTCTTCTGGTCGGGTACCCTCCGTTCTGGGACGAGGACCAGCACAAGCTCTACCAGCAGATCAAAGCTGGAGCTTACGATGTGAGCTCCCTGTTCCTCTGCTTATCTCTGACTTTAAATGAAAAAATGTGGCCGCCTCTGCATTCCACGTATGTGTGTGTCTGAATGGGTTTGGTTAGTTTCCCTCTCCAGAGTGGGACACCGTGACTCCTGAGGCTAAAAATCTGATCAACCAGATGCTGACGATCAACCCTGCTAAGAGAATCACTGCCCAGGAGGCTCTGAAGCACCCATGGGTCTGCGTAAGTAGCACTCACACACCCAGAGTCCTGCTACTGCTGACAGATTGCAATATTTCATCACCTTCTCCTGACTAGTTTGTAAAGGACTAATTAGGGGTCTCGGAACATCTGACGGGAGCTGCCAAAATCTTCCCACCATCTGTTTCCAAACATGCAATTTATCTCTGACACGAGCAAATACCAGGCCAGCTAATTCTGGACAATTAGTGTCGGAAGAAGATAAAAGCGTAAATCTTTTCAGAGCAACCTTCAGCTTGCTGTTCATTAAAATATTCAATTCAATTCAGTTTATTTATATAGCGCCAATTCACAACACATGTCATCTCAAGGCACTTTACAGAGACAATGCAAACAGATCATTCAAATTAATTGGTTCAAAGTTTTCTATCTAAGGCAAACCAACTGATCACATCGAGTCATTCACTCTTCAGCAATCCCTCACACAAAGCATGGTTGCAGGGACGGTGGAGAGGAAAAACTCCCTTTTAACAGGAAGAAACCTCCAGCAGAACCAGGCTC